CCACATATAACAAGATACAATTTTAGGTAGCCTTAAACAAGTTAAATTTCTTTTGGGAGCAACATACAACCAGTGTTGAATCCTTCACAATAAAATGGAGTATTGCCATCACTTCTTCAACTGTAGGCAGAATATATAGAAGTAGGATCATTTTTTTGATCACTGGAGTTACATAATATTTCTGGAAGACTAGCAAAAAAACATTCACTGCATTTAAAAGCAAACTTTTGATGTGTCTGGCACCTTGTAAGTGAAATACATCACATCGAGTGCATGGTTGATATGATATACCTGGTGATTGCTGGCATATCCTTTCATTACACTGAGATTTGATACAGTTGAAAATGCATTTATTTTGGAGACAAAAAGAGAACCTGAAGCATATTTTTTCTACTTGTACTATAATTTAATGACAGAAGCAACACTGAATTGGTGTGGGCATCAGATGTTCCTTTGGTCATTTTAAAGAAGTTGTTTTGCAGTTGAAGTAGACTGTCAGCACAGCCACATGTTTCTTAAATGTGAGGAGAAGGGTGGAACGTGTGAGTGTGTTTGTCTTCATTTTCAGAATCGCAGAATGGCCCAGGTTGGAAGGGACCACAAGGATCAAGAATCCCCAACTCCCCCCCTCCACAAGCAGGGCCACTAACCTCCCCATTTAGTACTAGACCAGGCTGTCCAGGGCCCCATCCAAACTGGCCTTGAACGCCTCCAGGGACAGGGCATCCACAACCTCTTCAGGCAGCCTGAAGCACCAGCACCTCACCACTCTCTCAGTAAAGAATTTCCCCCTGACTTCCAACCTAAATCTTTCCTCCTTCAACTTAAAACCATTTCCCCTTGTCCTGCTGTTATCTACCCTTTCAAGGAGCTGATTCCCCCTCCTGTTTGTAGGCTCCCTTTAGGTACTGATAGGCTGCAGTGAGGTCACCCTGCAGCCTTTTCTCCAGGCTGAGCAAGCCCAGCTCCCTCAGCATGTCTTTGTAGGGGAGGTGCTCCAACCCTCTGATCATCTTTGTGGCTCTCACCTGGACCCTCTCCAACAGCTCCTTGTCTTTCTTGTACTGGGGGCCTGAGACCTGGACACAGTACTCCAGATGGGGCCTCACAAGAGCAGAGTAGAGGGGGACAATCACCTCCCTGTCCCTACTGGCCACTCCTCTTCTGATGGAGCCCAGGATACCATTTGCTTTCCAAGCTGCAAGAGCACACTGCTGGCTCATGTTCAGTGTTTCATCCACCAGGTGCTTCTCTGCAGGGCTGCTCTTAAAGACCACTCCTTCCAGTCTGTATGGATGCCTGGGATTCCTCCGGCCCAAGTACAAAGCCTTGCACTTTGCTGTGTTGAACCTCATTAGATTCACCCGGGCCTACCTTTCAAGTCTGTTGAGGTCCCTCTGAATGGCATCCTTTCCTTTCACTGTGTCAGCTGCACCACTCAGCTTGGTGTCATTAGCAAACTTCCTGAGGGTGCACTCAATTCCATCATCGATGTCACTGACAAAGATGTTAAAGAGCACCAGTCCTAAGACAGACTCTTGGGGGATGCCACTCATTACTGGCCTCCACTTGGACATAGAACCTTTAATAACCACTTTCTGTCCGTGTCCTTTCAACCATTTCCTTATCCATCGAGTGGTTCACCCATCAAATCCACATCCCTCCAATTTGGAGATAAGGATGTAGTGGGGGACCATGTCAGAGGACTTCAGTCCTTTTTTTGTTCCTCTCTTTCACATCTTACTTCTTTGAGCTCTAAGCAAATCTGGTCTTCTAAGATTTTCAGGACACTGAATATTGAGGAGAAGGTGCAGTGCAAAAAGTTTTAGGTATCTTTGAATACAGAAATTATTGAAAGGACAGATCAACTTCAGATGTGGTTCCTAAGTTTAAAAGCCAACAGTCATGTTGCCTTTAAAAGCATAATCTTTAGTAGGAAAATATTTCTAAGAGTGATAGATTTATGCTAATGTTTGCTTTCCACGAAGTGTAAAGCAAAAACTTGTACTTTCTTACACTTTAAGGTTTGCTGTGGTCAGTGAAACCAATTGGTGTGGGGACAGTAGCATCTGATCAGAATTGGAATACAATTTATTTTTGCTACAAATACACTGTGAACACCTGCAGATAAAGGAGGAACAGCAAAAAAGGAAGGGATTCTGAAACCAGACAGTTAAATGCTGTAAGGAGATCCTGGGAAATAGAAACTATTGCAAATGAAAATTATTGACTGTGCATGCATGGTAAAGCTGGATAAGAATAAGATTTTCGGAATGTTGTCAACTTCAGTGGAATATTTTTAGAGACAAAAATTGCCATTTTCTTTTTCTACGACATGAGAATGTATGAGAGGTTAAAACTCCAGTCCTTTGAATACTTTGGTATATAAAAAGCTAAAATGTTTCATTTCAAAATATATTTGAAAAAAAAAAAATGAAGTTATACGTATATGAAACACCAACACTTCTTCGAAAGTGGAAATACTGAATTGATGCCTTTTTACTTTTTCTAACCTAGACTAAAATGTTAATCTTAAAGTGCCCCAGGCTTCTCTGGAATTAGGATTCACAGGGTAGGAAGTGAAGTGCAGTTTGTCCTGTGGTAAATGTGATTTACTCTGCAGTTGCAGTTGATCTTCAGTCATTGCAATGCATCAGGAAGGAATAAACCACTGCCAGAGCTGGTGAGCAGATGCTGCAGAATTTCCATGTCCATTGTAACTTGAATTTAGAGGTGATAAATAGTTCAGTCGTATCTACTGCTTACTGCTGGCTACTGGGTTGCTTAAGTCCCAAACAATGGCAGAATTCTCAGCCACCCACCCAGGTAATGTCTTCAGCTGGGAAAAAGAAATGCATCAAAATATTCTCCTGTCTTCAAATAGCACCCAGGAGTTAGGGTATATAGTCTCCTTTTTCAGGGATCTGCATCTTAGGCCTCAGATCTGCTCTATTGCCCTTCTGTAGCAATAAAATTTTAATGCAGTAAATCAGATATTACAGCCTTCCACTGCTAAATAAGCAGTGATAAATGAGTAGCCTTACCAGAACCTAAAGCGCATGACCTGTTAGATTCCTCAGCAGCTCAAGTGAACAAAGCTGAATTTGTCTTATAACAATGCCAGAAAAACATCTATTCGTCTATCCCTAGTGGTAGAAAATTGATTTGTATTGCAGAATGTCACTTCTCAAGCCTCACCCAAGATCTTAACTATACAAGTCTCTGGTTTCCTGCTTTTTTTGTCCAAGTAGAACTACAAATTCTGTCTAAGCTCTACTACAGTATATAGTGCTCTTACCGTGAAGCTAATAGGCAGAGGTAGTGACTGTGTACGTTTTGTTATCTTGGCTCTTCCCCTTGATGCCCGCGTCTCATCTGCAGGTTATGAAAATGCTGAAGTCACAACTATAATCATGTGCTACTGTGTTAGCACTTGTATGTATTTGAAAGTCAGATTAAGATCAGCAGAATTCTTTTTGCTTTGTTCTAGGCTAAGCTGTGGTGGCATGTTTGTTCTGGGAGTGCTCCTTGAGCACATACATCCCCACACTTCAGTGCTTAGAGCCCAGGGAAGCCTAAACCAGATCTGGTTCCTCTCTGCTGCTAGGTATGTGTGAAATGGCCACCTCTTCAAGATAGTGCCTGGCTGCCTTATGTCATCACTCAGAACTGATTGACTTGAGCTGCTATCTTCAAACACTGCATGAAGGTATTGCTTAATTTTGCCCTGCTTTTTCTCTGTATTTTCTGGGCAAGCAGTGTGCTTGACTTTATGCTGTTACGAATTTGTCATGTCCTTTCCAGCTCTTGAAAACCTAAGTATCATTTATTTACACTGAAGTTATGGAAGCTTGAGAACTTTATGTGTTTACAAGCCACTTAAATAAGCATAGGTGTGTCCTCTGCCTCAGAAACCCTGTGCTTGCTGAATTTGCACAATTGTGTTCACTCTTGAGTCTGCCTTGCACATTAGTATCTGCTAGTTCTTGTCAATCATGAAAAAAAAGGAAAAGAGTATTGAGCAGGAATCAGTAAAAACGTGAAATAAAGGTTTTGTGCTGACAAATGGTATGGTCCAGAGATAGAAAAGATGCAGAATATTTGATAATACTGCTCTGTTGGAATAATACTCTCTGTAGGCTGTTAATTATTGTGCTTCATTACCCTCAATGCAGTCTTTTCCAGAGGTTACAGAACAGCAGAGTAGTAGAACACGGGAAAATTCTCCTCAGAGTATTTTAGTGTGACTGCACCAAGGGTCAACTTACCAGTGCTGAAGCATATGGTGGAGCATGGAACAAATTTGCTCTTCCTACAGTTGTGAAACGGGAATAAAACAGGCCTTTCTGCTGTAAATGAGTATGTTTCTGCTTTCCATTTTGGAATCTTAACACTGAGAATTAGGACTAACTTCTGTCAGGCTGAAAATGAACTGAACTCAGTGCTACGGCTATATGCTGAGCACCTGGCTGGGTGAGCCCTGCAGAGGGCTCCTGAGGGAGAGGCCTCAGTATTTGTGACACGCTGGTGCAGCAGTGCTGGTACATCAAGCAGCAGCGCCTGCTGTCAGGGCCCTAGGAACACACTGAGTAAATCCTCTCCAGAGAAGTGGTTGCTACGTCACTGGAAAATGTGAACTTACAAATGCTGTTAAAAGCATATCTGAAACATTTATTGGGACTTTAAAAAACAATTTCTTACTTTAATGTAATAGAAAAGGTCTCATTGTTTACTTATTAAAATTAATATACTGTACCATCGCATAAATTCCCTTTTGAAGAAGTGATACTTATGTGGTTCCAAAGGATCCTTACTGAGAACTGTTTTCACAATAAGAGAAATATCTCCACAGCAGCAACATCCCATCTGCTTTTAGGATATTGGCCCACATCTTTCCAGAGCCTTGGGTATCAGCCCGGGCCGTAACGCAGTCTCCTGATGTTGCATACCCTGCTGCCAGCAGCCGCGCCCCGCCTGTCCCCGCTTTCACTTTCGCTTCTCCTTCCGGCCCCGGGCGGCCTCACCTCGCGGTTTTCGTGCTCGAGCGCCGGCGGCTCTACGCTGGAGGAGGTGAAGCCCACCGAGGTAAGTGCGTGTCTTTCTTCCCTTATCGGTAATAACGAGGGTGTCAGACGGCGAAGCTGAAGTTCTGCTCCGGAGTTTGGCGATTTCGTGGCTTGTGGCTTTCTCTTAATTTGTAAAAAGCAAGTTAGCAAAGTCGGCGCCATCACTTTTTGCTTCATGAGAATGTGCCTCGGCGCTTGTGCCTAGCGGTGGGGTCCCAGCTGGCTGAGGGAGTTCTGCTGTAAAACAAGCAATAGTGAAGGAGCAGGAATGTCCCTCTCTAAGATGCTGAAGGCTCCCTGCTGCAGTTCTGCATTTTTAAAGATCCTTGCTGGTATCACTGAGAAATCCTGTTCTGTCTGTTTTCCCTTAAAAGTTATTCTGTAACCTTGCCTTTTAAATCTGATAGTATTTACTTCTCCAGGTTCCCAATGAAAGCATAAAACAGTTCAAGCTGTCTCCAGACTTTCTTCAATGAAAATAGCCAAGCACAAGAAGGCAGCCCTGTTGGCCTTGTTGGAGGTCAGGCAAAGAGCACTGTTGGGGTTTGCATAGTGAGTGCATTTCTTCTTCTTTCCAACTTAGAGATGAAATGAGAACAATTAGGGAGCAATCTCATCTTCCTCAGATGGAGGGATGGGCCACTGTGTTCAGTACCTGCCTGCAAGACTGCCAGGTTGGGTTGTTTGCTGTCACCACCCCTCTCCTGTTTGCTCACAGGTGAGCAGTGAACCAGTCTGAACTGCAAGAAGCAGGGCAGGTCCATATGCAGTGCCTAGTGAGAAAATTAACTTTTATTAAGACTTATTTTAAACAGTATTTTGCAGTCCTTTGAACACAGCTTTGTAATACTTTCAGTCCTTCTTTCCCTTATCTCCTTGTTCCCAGTTGATTTTACTAAGGTCTTTCGCTATGGAGTCAGGTTGATCCCAAGAAAGCACTCACAATGTCCCCCTCTGGCCATTGTAATGCTGGAGCAGTCCTAACATGATCCCCCTGAACAGGCAGGTCCCCTGTGAGGCTGAATGCTACTCAGCCTGACTTGCTGAAGCCTCGTTGCACTGCAGGTTGCAGAAACAGTTCATTGGAGTGTTTTGTTATGTGCTGAAAACTCTTCTCTTTAAAACATCTGTTCAGAAAGCTTTTTCTTTATCGCTTCAGAAAGGCTTTTCTGTACAAATGTGCTGGCTTAATTTCATTTCATTGTTTGCAATTTGCCATGGAGTTTGAGCTCGAGACTAGATTGTGTAAACGAGTGGCAAATTTCAAGAATAGATAAATGTGACCTGCAGAACTAAGGGCTCATCCTCAGAGTTTGTCTTTGGAGAGGCTGTTGTGGATTCCCCAAGGCCTAATGAGGTTAAAATCCTCTTTTGTAATCTGCCTTGTAGCAGGCACAATTTTTCTCTTGGGAGCCCATGATACTGAGACTTGAACTGAGGATGGCGGGCAGGTTCTCCAATCTGATGGCAGAAGGCCGCAGGAATATGTATATATGAGGACTGTGAAGACACATCACTTTAGAGGGAATAATAGAAGTATTTTTTACTTTTAAGAAAAAATGCAGCAGAACCTAAGCTTACCTCTATCTGTGAAAGCAAGGAAAAACATGCTGGGAAGCACACCTGAATTATTTCTTTTTCCATTGTTGGAGATAATTCAGGTGAAAATGATACAGAAGTCACTTGATCAGCAGAAATGCTGTTTAATTGGACAAACTCTGACTGAGCAGGATAGTCACACCATTCTGAGTTCTTACAGCTCTGTTCAGATCAGAATTTGTGTGAAATTAATTTTCACTTCCAGTAAAGCTGTATTACAAAATAGATAGATGAATTTAGGTCTTAAACTGAAATTGAATTAGGGCTAAATTGAAACTGCATAAAATATGAAGAAGTCTGTGATTCATCAGAAATGTAATGTAGTGCCTAAACAGGCAGTACCATTGAAGATCAGTGCACTGGTGAGCAGATTTTGACATCGTAATGAAAGTACTTGAGATATTGAGGAATATGTTAATTCTCAAAATTTCCTGGGGAAAAAAAAATGTGATTCCATGAAAAAGAGTATGTTTTTGTGAAAGCATTTGAATAAATGCCTTGAATCTATGAAGAGCATTTTCTCTACATCTTGGTTCTCGCTTTCCTGACTAGCTAAGTGAGTTATAAGGTTGGTATAGATTCATTTTGTCTGCTCATATGCCTTTCTATAGTCTAGCATTCCTTCTTTTATTTTATCTGCAACTGAAGTTAGACAAGCAAAAGCCTAAGTAAGGTGGAAAGATGGTTTGAATTTTGTGTAGCTGGCTTGTGAAACAAGAACAGGCAAGAATTGTAAAATAAAGAGGAGGTTGCGCATTCTTACTGCATGCATCTTCAAATATTTTAAGCACAATTAAAGTTCAGGGCATTGGTAATTAACACAGAGGGGGCTGTGTACTATTTGTATGTTTATTTGTCATTTATTATTATTTATATGCATAGTAAAGCAATGCAAAATTAATTAGAAAAAGAAGAATTGTTGGAAATTTGTGTTAGTTACAGATAAATGGTTAGTAGCTCTTTAAACATAATTATTTTCAGTGAAGAGTGGTTATTACACACACCTTTTCCACCAAAATGAATAATACCTCATGGGTGAAAAAATGATGTTTGCTCAAACTGCATGATTTTTTTTGTGTCTGTCTTGCTTAAGCCTTCAGTTTAAAGTATGAGTTATGTCAAAATGATTCTGATTTGTTAATGTGTGTTCATTTTGCCTCTGCAGATAAAACTATGGGATGTTCTATTCTTTGCTGGAACAGCTTATCTTTCAAACTGGTGTCTGTTTGCTTACTGTGTGCATCAATTGGAAAGCAATGTCAGATTAGAAATACAATGGCAGATTGTAGTCACCTAAAGCTGACACAAATTCCTTCTGATCTTCCAAACAACATAACAGGTTTGGACATTTCCCATAATCAGCTAAAAATGCTTGCTCCTGAGAATCTGACCCAGTACAGCAATCTGATTTACTTAAATGTGGGATACAACATCATCTCTAAACTGCAACCAGAATTGTGCAAAAATATGCCCCTGTTGCAAATTTTAAAGCTAGAACACAATCAATTGCATGAACTTCCTGATGGAGTGTTTGCTACCTGCAGCAACCTGACTGAGCTCAATCTAGGATACAACATCATAGAAGTAAGAAATGATCCTTTCAAAACCCTGGAGGTAAGCTTTAGAAATATGTTTTCTGGTAAATAAAGTATGTATGGGGAATTTATTGCATGTATGTACAAGGCCTATTTGCATTTGAAAATACCCAGCATATGATCTTTGTTGATTTTCCAAAGAAAAGGCTTAGTGTCTTATTGTGTTAAAATACACTGCAGTCTCAGTTGTCTGGGGAGTCAATGCTCTCCGTAGCTTTTTTTCTGCTGCATCTTGTCAAAGCATCTCTCCATACAGGATTTATTCTGGTGAAGTATGGTGTGGTCAGGAATCTGAGTTTCATGAGTCTAATGATGGTTGCTAGTCTAAATTCTCAAGGACAGGCTGTAAACACTCAGGGTGTAAAGATCAATGCTTAGGCTAAATGTACTGTCTCCCGGGGCTTTGGGGATTGGGAAAATAAAAAGGCTTTTAATTGCCTTTGTTTCTCCTGTTGGGTTGGGTGTGGTTAAGTATTATCTATAGCATATCTGTGGGCAGGAGTCATGTAAAAGGAAGGGTCTGAGGAGAAAAGAAAGTGAGTATGCATGTTTTGGATAGGTTCAAACATTTGTTTTACTCTCAGTATTCCAATTCAGTTACATAAAACGTGCTTGCTGACTTCCAACTATATACAAAACAGTGCAGGGAGCAGAACTGAAGTTGTGGACCTCCCTTATCCACTGCCTTGTTGATGGTGTTCGGAGCACACAGAAAGCTTTTTCCTACAGGTGTGGAAAAGCTGCAATCCTTTATGACAAATTTATTTTCATTGTAGCATTGCAACCAATTTCTAGTATAATATTTCAGAATGTTCTTTTTAATTACATAAAAAGGTTTTTTTATTTACATCTTCTCTACAGAACTTGAATATTTTGGATCTATCTCATAATCACTTGAAGTCAGCAAATTTAGGATTACAGCAACAGCTGAAGAACCTTCATGACCTTGTGTTGTACAGCAACCAAATCACTGAGCTAAAAAAAGAAGACTTAAAATTTCTTAGCAACACTTCATTGAATAGTCTTGATCTGTCATCAAACCCCCTGAAAAAGGTAGGAAGCATTTCAGTAGAAATTCAACCGATGTAAATATAAAATGAAACTATTCTGATTTAACATGTGTGATTGTATGGCTTCTGTTTTATGATTATATTTTGAATTTATCAAGATCAAACTTGCAGCTATTCTATTGTATATAGGACTACTCCTGATCTACAGATGTAATACAAAATTATTTTCCTTCCACTGAATAAGAGCTGGTCTCATGTAGACCAGAGACCTCAATATAGGTCTCCCTGGTTATCACAAAGAAACATCATTTATGCAAGTGTAGTACTCCAGAGAAATAATCTTTGCAGAAAAATATATCCACTTGTTTGTTTGTTTTTTAAGTGTGTTGGCTCTGCCACCTACCTTGTTGCTTTCAATCTTGTTCTCAGTTAAAATACAAACCTTTGAAGAGTGATGGTAAGCGTTGCATTTCTAAACTTGCATGAATAGTGAATTTTTTTTTTTTTTTTTTTTTTTTTTTTTTTGCCACTTGATTCATCTGTATAAACTTTTACATTGTAATTGCAAGAATATTTTGAGTTGGCGTAAGTTTGTACAACAGTTGAGAGAGGCAATTTCTCTCTCTCTCTATTCCCATTGCTGCTTCATGCCTCCTCCTTACTTGTACAAACCTTAGTGAGGATATAGACTAGATCACCTGGGGAAACTACAGTTTTGTTGGCATGGTTAGCTTATGACTAGGGTAGTTCACTATCTTGTTCATTATATGGCTGCATGTATAGCCATACTGGCACAAGGATACAGCAGATGACTAAGTAGATGCAATTGCAAAGGTTACTCTATGTCAGTTTAACTTGCTCTGATTTTACAAGTCTGATATCTGGAAAGCAACCATATGCAACCATATGCACACTGATAAATGGAGTATTTAATCGTTCCGCTGATATCTGACACCAAGATGAGGGGCTAGCACTGTAATGGTGACTTCTGATTTATGTCATGGAAGCAAGCGTGTGGTATCCTGTTTCATGAATATAGATTGTGCTCATGCAGAGAAACTGTTTCTTTGTTAACTTTTTCACAGTGTATCCCTATAAGATACGAATTAAAGAAAGTGATATGGAAACATTGTCTCAACTACTAAGATACTTACAGTGAAGTATTTTTACTAGTTGAATGCAAAATTGTAACAAACTCTCATCTCACTAAGAAACCTTTTATCTTGTTCTAAAGGAGTACCACTCAAAATCATGATGACCATATTACAAATTTTAGAACATGAGATACCACTTCAAGAAGTTTGTCTACCCTCAAATGTGGAAAAAGTGTGCAGGAGTTCCAGTCTGCCTGATGCTTTCGTTTGAATAACCTTCCCAAATTTAGGCTTTAAGTTCGACTTTCTTATATAACTCTCTTGTTTAGGTCAAAATTCTCTTTTCCTTTCCTTTTAGTTTCACACAGGATGTTTACATGCAATTGGAAATCTGTTTGGCCTTATACTGAACAATGTTGAACTTGGTGAAAATAGCACAAAGGAACTTTGTACGGAATTATCAAGCACAGCGATTCAGAACCTCTCACTGAGCCATGTGAAGCTCTCACACATTAGCAGGTTAACTCTCCAGGGACTACAAGGAACAAACCTCACAGTTTTAAACCTTTCAAAAAACTCTCTCTCTGTGATAGAGGATGACTCATTTCAATGGCTGTCAAATTTAGAGTACTTGAACTTGGAGGATAATAACATCTTGAAAGTGTCTTCACGTTTATTTTATGGATTGTCCAGCATTAAACATCTGAATCTGATAAACGCACTTACTGGGAAAATTGAAGATTTTTCCTTCCAATGGTTATACAACCTAGAGTACCTTATAATGGATCATAACAATTTTCCACAAATTACGACTAACATGTTCACAGGTCTGAAAAACCTGAAATATTTAAGTCTTTATAGCTGCAACATAAACTTGCAAAGAATAACTAATAAAACATTTGTATCACTTGCTAATTCCAGCTTGCAAGTTCTCAATCTCACAAAAACAAGGATCTCTACAGTAGAAAGTGGGGCATTTTCCTTGTTGGGACAACTGAAAATTCTTGATCTTGGTCTCAATGAAATTAATCAAGTGCTCACTGGTCATGAGTTTGAAGGTCTCAATAATATAGAATATATTTATCTTTCTTACAACAGAAACGTGACTTTGCAAAGTGAATCATTTATTTTTGTTCCAAGACTTAGCAAACTGATGTTAAGGAAGGTAGGTTGCAATAATCTGGCAATTTCTCCTTCACCTTTTCATCCACTACGGAATCTGACTGTCCTGGACATCAGCAATAACAACTTAGCAAACATAAAGGAAGACTTGTTTGATGGACTTCACAAACTCGATATTCTGGATTTGCAGCACAATAATTTAGCTCGACTTTGGAAACAAGCAAATCCAGGAGGTCCAGTTCTTTTTTTAAAAGACCTTCCCAACTTGCATGTTCTTAATTTAAAATCAAATGGCTTTGATGAAATTCCAGTTCATGTTTTCAAGGGTCTGCATCGATTAAAAGACTTGGATTTAGGATCAAATAATTTGAATTTGCTGCCAGCAACTTTATTTGATAACCAAAACTCTCTACATACGTTGAACCTTCAGAAAAATCTAATAACCTCAGTTGAAGAAGAGGTGTTTGGTCCAGTTTTCAAGAGCCTGAGAAAACTAGAGATGGATTCCAACCCATTTGATTGCACTTGTGAAAGCATTGCTTGGTTTGCTAGTTGGCTAAATGTCACTCAAGCATATATACCTGGATTGCAGTCTCAGTACATTTGTAACACCCCACCTAAATATCACAGTACTCTGGTGTTGCATTTTGACACCTCAGCCTGCAAAGACAGCGCTCCATTTAAGCTTCTGTTTGTGATCACTACCACTGTTGTGGTGCAATTCATTTTCATCGTTCTTCTCATCCATTTTGAAGGGTGGAGAATAGCTTTCTACTGGAATATTTCTATAAATCGAATACTTGGCTTTAAAGAGCTTGACAGACTACAGGGAGTGTTTGATTATGATGCCTATGTTATTCATGCTAGAGAAGACACAAATTGGGTGTTGGATGAACTTCACCTCTCTGGAAGAAAATGAGCAATTTCAAGTTAAGTTTTGTCTAGAAGAACGAGACTTTGAAGCAGGAATATCTGAATTTGAAGCTATAATTAACAGCATAAGAAAGAGCAGAAAGATTATTTTTATTGTGACTGAACATCTCTTACAGGATCCATGGTGCAGGAAGTGAGTAAAATATACTGTATGTAAAGGGGAAATTTCTTAACAGATTTTTAACAAAGTAATCTTTTTTTTGCTATTTAAATTAATTAAAAATGCAATGCAAATTCTCCTTTAATATATCCTACTTTTGGAACAGTTACAAATTTAATAAACTTAATTGCTCTACATGTAAACTAGTAGATATTTGAACCCTTCTGTATGTATGTCTTTCTTTTTTCTTTTCAAAATGTGAAACCATTACCTTTGCAGATTGCTTTCCTTAAAATTCCGTGTTTGAAACAGGGCAGTCAATGGTGCAATCACTAGCATCCATTTTTACATATCTTTAAGCAAATCTTTTCACTACTCTTCAGCAGTGTATTTGAAGGAACCTTTCTAATTATGGCTATGTCAAGACAGTAGACTTAGGTTGTATTTTAAGAGTATGCTTTATCCTTTATTTAAAATTTAACCAATTTAATGTAAGTAATGAGAGTTTTATATCATAAAACATACATTAAGACTTCACTTCAAATTTAGACCCTGATTTTGCAGCATGCTATTATGTGCACTATCAAAAGATCTATCTGTCATTTGTTCCCAAACCTGAACTTAAAATTTTGTCTTACTTTTCCTTCAGGTTTAAGGTGCATCATGCTCTACAGCAAGCTATTGAACAAAGTCGAGACTCCATCATACTGATCTTTCTTCATAATATACACGATTACAAGTTGAATCATGCACTTTGCTTGAGAAGAGGAATGTTTAGATCTCGCTGCATCTTGAACTGGCCAGTCCAGAAGGAAAGAATCAATGCATTTCGTCAGCAGTTAATGATGGCACTTAAATCTAATAGTAAAGTGCACTGAATTCAGTTTTCTGATGTTAGAAAACTAGCAGGTCTCCAGTAAAAGATAAAAAAAAAAAAAAAAAAAAAAAGTCATATTGGAATAAGACACTGAAAGTTGATAATTTATATTTACTGATATTGTAGTTCACCTATACTGAAGTAATCGCATTTGATAGTCATTTCAGTATGTGCATCAACAATGTGAGATATTCTGGAAAGTGGTGAGAATGACTGAAGTCCTTGAAAAAACATCCATCTGATGTAATGCAGAAAAGCCATGGGCTCTACATTAGCAGGGTATATAGAAAAGGATGCAATGACAAAATTTCAAATCCTGTCTAGAAAGCAGAATGGACACTACAACTTGTTTTTAAATCTCAAAGGAAAATAAATAGAAAACAAACCTAAATTTTTTTCTATATTAAGCACAATGACATGGAAATAATTTCTATAGTTGAAGCCTTTGAAAATGGATAAACCCGGAGGAATTCTTTAGTGTAACTTGTTATACACTCATTTGGTATTTTCTTCCTTAAAATACTTTACAGAAAATTGGGGTAGTTAGCAATTGCATGGCATTAAGGTTCAAACTTATATGCTAGTAACTTGATCTGGAGAGAGCTAAGAACCAGCAAAGCATGCTCCAAAATTGTCCAAAATGTTTACTATGTTTGATGCTCATTGTGATTCTATGGAGCATTTGAGCACAATTTATTGCAAAGTGGGCTGTAGACAGTCATGTCCCTTTGTCCCTATTAATGTTTAATTTCTCCTCTGATGGTTGTTTTTGTCTTTTTGTCTTTTTTTTTTTTTTTAGTTGTTCGATCATTTATTTATTTATTTGCTTTTACTTCTTTGTTTCTCCCTCGCATTGATAAAAATACATAAATGAATAATAATGAAATATAAATTCAATGAACTGGGTTTTGCATGCACTAGAAGAGTTGAAAGCAAAGCAGACGACTTTCACTGGCTCAGGAGGTCCTGAAGTGAAAACAAAAGGTTTGTTTACAGGTGAAGCGATAGATAATGATTCCCTAATTACAGTAATAGGATTATCCCATTGTGATGCTTTCATCTCATCTTTCCGTCCTTTTCAGGTTGTGACAAATTCACTCTTCATGTGTAGGCCATGAAAGCTGAGAAGGCAAGGCGGTAAGGATGGGGTGCCAGGGATGCACCTTGTCAATCGTTCTTTCTCTTATTTAAAGACCAACCCGTGAAAGGGTGCCTATGTTTCCTAACCCCGCAGTGTAAAATACAGCAGAATTTCTCATTTCACTTGAAAATGAACTGTTTAGAATATCTTAGCATTTCACATGTTGATTAAGATGCAGAGAATTTGCAGAGAAACACTGAGGTGAAACATGATACGAGAAGTCAAATCAAATGATCAAATGGTCTTTTCTGGCCCTTAAACTGATAAATGACAGCTGATCTAAATTCTATGAAGATACACTTGTAAATATAACTACCCCCATAATTGGTCTCTAAACAGTGGATAGATGTGTTATGGATACTTATGCAATACAGCTAATACAAACTTAGTGCAATTGCTTGTAAATGATGATTAATTTTTATGATAAAAGTATGAGTATTCTAAACATTTTAATTTTGACACTCAGTTTAAAATAATTTACATGAGACAAAACACATTGTAAATGGTCACAATAAGAATTAGAGTAATGTTTAAAAAAAAAAAAAGCATGAAAGCATTAAGCACAGAGCCAATAGTAAAACATGAATATATATAACATATTTGTATTACTCTTCCCTGTTTGCCTGGTCTTCCTTGTTTTACTCCTACACATTTGTTTGACAGTATTATTGAGGGTAAGTAAACTGGCTTACTTACCATGATGAAGAGTTTTAAATCCTTTCAGGATTAACACTCTATGTCTGAACTGCCTAGTAGGTGGCATCAGACCACTTTATAGTGATTTGCTGAGAAGACAGAGATCAAATAGGTGAAAAGCAGTACCATGTTTGTAGCATAAAAGATACTATCCCAGATAAAGAGGAATGATCTGTATTAAAATCAGGATATCTAAAGAGGTAGAATGCTTGAGTAAGGTAGAATGTTCAGGCTTGTAGAGCAAGGAACCTGTCTATTGCTGTGTTTCTTAGATTATGGAGAGTAATGAACAAGTTCATGACATTAGTAATAGGTTCTGTTCCAGAGTAGATGAATGAATCTTCATGAATCTCTTTTTACTGAAGAAGTGCATTAGGGCTCCAAGTTCCCAAACAAGGGATATGCAGGTAGGACAAATGCTGCGCACCAGAAGTGTTTTGGTAAATTTCATTGTGACAGGGTGAAGAATAGATGCAAATCTGGATGCCTTTTATGGACCTTTTCATGCTAAAGAGTTCCTTCCTTTCTTATAGACCCTTTTAGGTAGTGAAGGTTTTTTTGACGTGTGGTCCTGCTGCTCTCCTGGTTACTGCCAGAGGCCATGTTAGCTGTCACAGTCTAAGCTGGCACATTGTTTGCCTCTACTATAATACTGGCCATCAGTGTGCCCAGGTTGCTGCTGGTACAACCATACTTTTCTCTGTCCAGACAGACAGCTCTATGTTGCTAGTGCAGTGTTTGCCCCAACCTACACAAGCCGTTGTTCCTGAGTCCGCTGCTCTCCCAGTCACAGGAGCTGGGCTGGTGGCATCTTTCTACACGGGTACTTCCTGATGCAGCTGCCTGGCACACTGTAAAAGGCTGCTGGTGGAGTCACTCACTCTACTTGCCTCTTAGTCTTTCCTTGTGCAAATAGGAGTGCAGTGGATGAAGAAAGGGCTTGAAGCGGGGCACTGACGTGCAGTCAGCTGATTTCTACCCCTCAGGGGGAGGTGGACTTCTAATTAAAGGAAAAACGTCGTCCAGTATTTCACACCTGACACGAGCACAAGGCCTAGGCTGACTGCTCTGCCTGGGCGGTGAACGCCTATTGGGTTTGTTTAGCTTAGCAACGCCGGAGGGGAGGAGAGGACAGGACAGGACAGGGTCGGGCCAGGCTGGGGGGAAGGGGCTCCCGCCTCGCTGCCATGAAGGTGGCGGCGCTGGAGCTGAGCTCCCTCCTGGTCAGACTGCGCCGTTCCGCCACGGATCCCGGCCCGGCCGCCCCCAGCCTCCGCCCGCCCTCCGGAGGCAGCTGTACGCCGGCTGCCGGCGGGCGTTCCCCGCGACCGCTGCTCGCTGCCACGGAGGAGGCCGGGAGTTGGGCGGGCGGCAAGGCACTGCTCATCACCCTGCCCGACATCGGGGAGGAGGCGGTGGCGGAGAGCGATGCCGAGGAGGCGGCGTGCAACTTGCGAAGCCCCAGGTGAGAGTGCCCGTAGGCGACGGGGACGGGCAGCGGGTGGTCTGTAAGTCCCCATTCTCCTCCGTATGTGCTCCCTCTGCTGAGTCCTGGGCTGCGCCGAGCAGCTCTGCGCGGAGGGAAGCTGCTCAGTCCCAAAGGGAGCAGAGAGGGGAGTGGGATGCAGCCGGAGCCCAGGGGAGCGTAGGGAGGGGGATCCGCCGCGGAGATACGGCGAGAGTTGCCGAAGTCACTGGGAGAAACCCAATGAATGCGTCAGTAAAGTGTGGAAAACCATGCTGGAGTGTTTGCGTATTGAATATTCAAGCTCGATGCTAAAAACACGTTTGTTTTTTGTTGGATTTTTTTTTTTTGTGTGTTTATTTGTTTGTTTTGCTGTCGTACGCAAACTAGCTGAGTATGCAGACAGGACTCAGTTGTCACGTAGAAAGTTTTCTTAGCAAGCTTGTTTCACTGTTGGAAGTACATAGCAACAGTGTCTTGAAAGTCGCTGCTCTGCTTTGTGAGGGAAAGAGGAGGTTGGTTGGTTTGTTTTTCTTCACTGATCTGCTGATTTCAAGGAGTCACTTTAGCTCTTCTTTTGCAAGGTATAGTTAATGAGGCGATCATCTTCCAAATTTCTGCCTCCTCTGTGGCTTGTAAAATGGGAGATGCCATCTCTTAGCCTTCTTCCCCCGACCGAGTAGCCCCAGCCTGTCTAGCCTTCCTTCTGAGGGCACCTCTGGTCCCTAATCCTGTTTGCAGCCTTTTCCTGATTCCAGTAAATCCTGGAGATGCAGAACCAGAACCACACACAGTGTTACCTGTGTAAGTGCAGTGAGGTTTTGCAAAGTGACGCGATAGTGCCTTTGAGTTCTGTCTTGATATCTGTATCAGTGTGGGCCAGCATTTTGTTGGTGGCTTTGGTTGTCACTGCGTAGTGAGCCCACAATAAGCCTGGGATTGCTTTCTGAGCTGCAGCTGGAGTCCCAGCGCCAGCACCATTTGTTTTGAGTTGTACTGGCAGAGTTCTGTGCAGAACTTCTCTGATCCTTTGTATAAATAATATCAGAACCAAGTAAATGTTATTTGTCTGTAATTTCTCACAATTGTTTTTTATTTTTTCTTTATTTTTTTCAAATTATGAAAAATAAAGCTAAGCATAATGCTGTTTGAGCTGCTATTCCTTTTAAATGCTGACTCTTATTAAAAAAAAATTAAGGGATAAAATTAACTCTTCACCAAATTGCTTGTATCGGGATGAAGAATAAACCTTATTACTTTAAGCTGGCTGTGTGCAGCAAAATGCTTATTTCACGTTGCTGCTGAAACATTTCTAACTGAACTGATATCCCCTCATTATTCCTTAACTGCTATGCTTTTGTATGCGTGGTGGCATTTCAAATATTTTATTCATAGCAGTCAAGCTTATTCTAATAAGGCATTGTTCGTCTTCAGAAAGAACAGAACCAGACCAGAAAGATGTAGAAGAAGGAATAAGACCTTTCCTTTGACAAGGAAAGCCTATACCTCCACATTAGCATTTTTTTAATTAGGTGGCTTCACTTAAGCTTTTACAAGAAGCATCTTAATTAAATATTGAACGCTCTAGAATTCCTTGCCTACAGTTCAGATTTGAATTTGTGAGCTCAGAATATGGTATTATGTCCTTGATAGCTAGGCTTAGAGAGTGTTTAATTATCCACATGAAATTCCTCTGTGACAAGTTTTAATGGCATTTAAAAGATTGTAAAAGACATTGAAAGTTCAGTGGACATTTACATTGACAACGGTTTAACTAGGAGTTACTGGTTAATAAGCAAAAGCTTCAGCATTGTGTTTTACCATTTTTTCCATTAGATACTGATAGTAATAGCAACCAAAATACACTGGGAAGGAAAATAGCATAAATTTGGTACTGATTTCTTCCTCTCTTTCCCAAGTACTCTGAATATTTTGTGAGATCTATGATGACTAACAATTAATCCTAGTGTGGTGTAGGGCTATAGTGTAGTGATTTCATACTCTTCTAATTCCACTGAATGAGCAGCAATTAAAATATATTTATTTATTTTTAAGGAAAAAAATAAATCTGACTGCATCTTTAAAAGTGCTGTTTGGAAAAAAAGTTGCTGTATAAGGTCACAAAATTGCTTTGGAAAATCACAAGATGCCTTATGTCACACTTACCATGATATAGCAGTGACACTAAGATACACTGTTTTCTTTTTAAAGAAACATTATGGCAACCTAGAGGTAAACTGGGTAAAGGTTAAGTCATGTTGTTTAGGAATGGGTAACATTTTGCTGGAATTGGTTGTACTGCTCCTCATGCTTAAGGACAGCTCTGACATGTGGGAAAACTGTGAACCTGGTAGAACAAGGACAGCTTTTCCTGTGATGTAAAAGCATTGTGGTCTATTGGCAGCTTTTCAGTTCCTCTGTCGCTCAGAACTTGTCCTTCCAAACAATGCTCTGTGAAGATGTGAGTAGAAGCAACTTAATGTACAACTGAAGAGAATGGAAAGTTGGATTCTGTTTCTCCCATTATAACCACTAAAAGGAATAGATCCCTTTCTTGCTGTAATGCATACTAACCTACAGAGAACTGCAATATTACTTAGCTTCCCATTTCAATTGTACTACTCTAATGAGCAAATGTAATGATGTAGTGTCTTGTTTGGGCCAATTGTTTCTTTTTGTTGCAAACAAATGTGAAAGAGCATAGATGTAAATTTTAATTTTATGTAGTGTTACTGAAGTCAGTATTTAAGCATTCTTCTAAACAAATGGAAATAAAAATAATTCCTAACATTTTCTAATATTATATCTAAAATAGGTTTTTACTAAGACCTCAGATGTGCAGTTTTCAACAAGTAGCTTGTCAGAGAACAAATGTCAGAAATGATAAAACCAAAGAATACCAGGTGTCCTCAAAGTGGTTTCATTGTTTTCGGGTCCAAGAACTGATCTATTGCCTTTGACAGTATTCTTTGTTTTTTTTTTTTTTTATAGGGAACTAGAGTGTTATGTTTACAGTCAGGCATTAACTTCTGAGTTCCTGAGTGGGATCAAGGTGTTAGTGATAGGAAGCAGAAGAGGTAGAGCCCAGAGATGGTTTGTCTCATCATCCCTAAAGGTGGGAGTCAGCTGATGTCAGCCACCAGCCCTAACTGCCAGGCAGGGCTGTAGTGGGTGATGAGGCAGCTCTGAGGCTATCAGCAGCTGAGGCTTGTTGGTGTGCTCAGGGCCCTGTTGCTTTCATTACAACATTCTCAGTGTGTCAGGACCATCTGTTTCCATCACCTCTCCCACTGGCTGTAAGATACATTTTAGACAGGTAAAAATTTTCTTTCTTTTTTTTTTTTTTTTAAGAAAATACATCTCTCCTGCATTACTATAAAGACCAGATCACTCCTTGAATGAGGATGAAAGGAATGTAAAAGAGAATAAAAGTTAAGTACCTGGACAGGCAAATGGTGAGCAAATATCCCCAGTGGGATTGGGAAGATAATTGGAAAGAAATCCCAGCCAAGTAGAACTTGAGGGCTGAGATAAAAATGACTTACTAAGATAGAACAGGAAGTGAAAAGGAGAATAATAATAGTAACAATAATAACATAAAATACAGCTACAAAAGAAGTGGTGCACAATACAGTTGCTCACCACCCACTAACCGATGCCCAACCAGTCTTCAACCAGTGGCTGGGCAGCCACTGGTTTTTTAAAGGTTTTTCACGTGATGCTGTATGGTATAGAATAACCCCTTGGCCAGTTTAGGCCAGCTGTCCTGTTTCTGCCCCCCCTTGGATTGCCTTGCCCCCCCTTGCTAGTAGGGTTGCACAAGAAATTGAAACATCTTTGGCTCTGTGCAGTGCTGCTCAGCAACAACTAAAACATCCCTGTGTTATCAGCATTGGTTTTCTCCTGAAGCCACAACGTAGCATCATATCAGACACTATGAAGGAGAAAAATCTGACTCTGTCCCAGCTGAAACCAGGACACCCTTGCTGTCACCTCACTCACTCTTCTGGTGGGAGTGATCAGTCTTTAAGGAAACCTAGCTCTCTTTGTCTGCTGAATAAAGCAGAAAATCTGTAGAGGAAAAAAGGTGGTATATGATGATGTTCAACACTCATGCTCTCAGATATTCCTGTATGCATATATGGCCAGTTGTTAGCCAGCTTGGACAGAGTCAGAGCTCATCTAATCTTATGCTGTTGAAATTGAATCTGTGGACTAGCAGCACAGCCATAACAAATGTTTGTTAAAGGGTGAAAATAATCTGAAAGTAATTCTTTTGTTTCATATGAGAATTATTATTTTTTTAAAGTTTGTAAGAAATGCAAACTTTGAATATGCATACTGCAGTTCACCACATTTCATGTATTCATGACTTCTTTCTTCCATGGGGATTTATCAGAAAAATCTGATATAACAAGATTTTCTGAGTTTTTAGGAAAGAAGATGATAACAGACTTTCTCGTTCTTCAGTCGACTTATTTCTTTAATATTGTTGACAAAGAAGCAGCATCTGTGCTGCAGAATGACCCCTTTCTGCATTTTGCCCCAGCTGATAGACTTCGAGCTTCAGAGCATTTGGCCAGCAAAGGTTTGGCAATTTCCTTTGCTTGATGTTTGTAGCTGACTTGTGGTCAAAGTGCTCACAGAAAGTGGCTGTGTACCTGAGGGATTCCTCACAGATGGACAGCAGGAGATGATCCTTTATGGGTAATTCCTCTGCTCTGGCTGATGGACCTCTATTCCAGTTTATTGACAGACTAAGCACCCGTGTTTCAAAACATATGAAATCTGCTTTTTAATGCTTCCTGCTAAGGAGATAAGGATGTGTTGGAATAAGAATGTGCTGCTCTGGGAATTTGCTGAGGGATTGATTAGTGTCTGAGATAAGAACTGGTGGAGATGGGTACATAGCACTTGCATTTCAATGTATCTTCATTTGTGTTACTAAGGCTGCAGCACTTGTTAATGTTTGATACTGAAAGCTATTTGGTAACCTAGCA